GGGGCACTCTTACAGTGCCTTTCTCTCCCCTATGTAACTAACCGGCTCTTGATTGTCATAAATTTGTAAGAATATGAATTGCTTGGAGACTGCTGCTTCTCTCTCATTTGGTTAAAACTTCTTAGTGGGTTATACAGCTGCCACAGCAGGACGGACAGAGGTGTGACCACATCCAAATCACACGATCGCAAAAGCCTTGTTTCCTTAGAAAACCAGACCAATAATTCCCAGACCCGCAAAAAAGGAAATTGAAGAGAAAGAGCAATTTAAACAACATATTGACAACAGCTAAAAAGGACCTCCTCTTTCTATCCACAGCAGGTCTGCACACATGAAAGTTCTTGAGGCAAATATTGTTCACAGATTATAAATATCTTAATTGGCTCATCTACAACAATAGTTTTACTTTTTCATACAGCAAACACAGCTGAGCTTCACTAAACTGCCAAAGGACATGCTTCATTACCACACTATCAATAAGGCAATATATTGCATTAAAGAAATTTTATCTACTGAATGACATTTCTTATTGTAGAAGCAAAAAAAACATCAATAGATGTCTATCATAATGCCTGTGGGAGGGAACTATGTCAGGAAAAAGTATTTCTCTTCAGATAAATAGGAGAATAAGGATTCAGTCTCTTTAAAGGTTTTTTTTTGTTTTTTTTTTTTTGGTATCTTGTAAGCCGTACAGTTTTCTTTTAAATAGTATTTTTCACTAGAAACAGGGTCAAAGTAAACTTCCAGAAAACACTTCCTCAGTCCTGCAGAAGTTCTGCTTTGGAGAATATCTCCTTTGATTCTCTTACTTCTCCCTCCCTATGGCTATTTTCAGTACTTCAAGAAGTTGTTAGCCGTAACAAGTTACTGAACCTGCAGGGTATATATTTCTACAATGAAGCAGAAACAAATCACGAGGTTCTCTCCGGATAGCTTCATCATATGAATGACACGGGAATCATACCACCCTGAGTATACTGGTGCATATTTTGAACCAATAATTTGATCACATTTTTAAACAAATATATATTTCTGATGAAAACTCTAAATGGGTCTCTCTTCCACAAGAAAACTTGGCTCTATTCTAGGAACATTTACATGCGTGATAGAGGAGAGGGTTATATGGCACCAGGAAGGCATGTTTGCCCTAAATTAAGATCTGTAATGCTAATTATAGCATGACAGCAAAACTTGTACTCTTCTCCCAGTTTTACACACACCTCCCATCCTTTTTTGTCTTTCCTCGTAGCTGTAGTTCTTGCTTGGGCTTCCTCCCTACGCCTTTTTTTCCCCTCTTTCTCAGCCACTACTGTGGAGTAGAGTGATAACTTAGACACTAGCAGAGAGCGTTCAGATTGCCCAGCAGCTGGTGCAGATGCTCTGCCATCCCCACACTGGAACAGCAGCGCTGCACAGCATGATCTGAACTACTGTGTATCTGCAGAAAGAGTGACGTGTATCTGCAGGAAGAATGACACTCGGCATTTGCATATGTGCCAGGATTTTGCATAGACTGAAAAAAGCTCACTGTTGTTTCCACTGGAGTGAGCTTAGGTGGGTGATGCTCAACGTAAAAAAGCCTTGAGTTGTGGAGCCCATCCCTACCAGCTTTTACAGCCTTTTCCACTGCAGCTGCTGACATGAATGTCTGCACTGCACAAGCATCATTCACCTTGGTGCAGCACTACTTGAGGGGCTCAGTTTAGGGAGGCTGTGCTAAGCACTGGTGCAGCTGAAGAAGGTAGTGCATTTGTGAATACTGAGGTTAGTAGGCAGATTAGATCTGATACTGAGAGACTCTAAAACCCAAAGGTTAAGACTGTCTGTATTGTCACTCAAAGCAGCAAATTGCATTATTATTTCTTTGCTTCCAAATTAGCTGCAGTCTCATCATTAATCATAGAATACCAGGTTGGAAGGGACCTCAAGGATCATCTGGTTCAAACTTTCTTGGCAAAAGCACTGTCTAGACAAGATGTCTGAGCACCCTGTTCAGCTGAATCTTTAAAGTATCCAGCACTGGGGAATCCACTGCTTTCCTGAGGAGATTATTCCAATGGCTGATTGTTCTCATTGTGAAAAATTTTCCTCTTTTGTCTAATCAGAATCTCCCTGGAATTAACTTATACCCATTACCCCTCATCTTTTCTATGTGACTCCTTGTAGAAAGGGAACTCTATCTTCTTGGTAGCCACCCTTTAAATACTGGAACATGGTGATAAGGGCTCCTTGAACTTTTTTTTTTTGTCAATCTGAACACACCAAGTTCTCTTATAGGGCAGATTTCCCAGTTCTTTGATCATCTTTTGTGGTCTTTCTCTGGACCCTGTCCAGCCTGTCACGTTGTTTTTGTATAGCAGGGACCTAAACTGAACACAGTGTTCCAAGTGTGGCCTGACAAGTGCTGAGCAGTGGGATAATGATATCTGTATCTCTGCTGGTAATGTCTTTGTTGATGTACCCGAAAAACTTGTTGCCTGTCTTTGCTACAGCAGCACGCTGTTTGCTCATATTGAGCTGCTTGTGCACCAGGACCCCCAGGTAGCTTTCCACAGAGCTGCTCCCAGCCAGGTAGATCCCAGCCTGTGCTGCACTCCAGGATTATATTTTCCCAGGTGCAAGACCTTGCACTTGTTGAACTTCATGAGCTTTTTGTTAAACCACTCTTCCATCCTAACCACGTCTTCCTGCAGGGTGGCTCGTCTTTTCAGTGTCCATTTTCCCACTCAGTTTGGTACCACCAGCAAACTTGGTCAGTATACACTTGATCCGCATCCAGATCACTTATAAAGACATTGAAAGCGGTAAGCCCAATATCGATCCATGAGGGAACCCAGTAGTGACAGATCACCAGCTGAAAAAGGAGCTATTTACCACTACCCTCCGGGTGAGGCTGGTCAGCCAGCTCCCCACCCTCCACACAGACCACTTGTCTGGTCCATAATGTATCCGTTTATGCAGAAGGAGGTGATGGGAAACCATATTGAAAACCTGGGAGAAATCCAGATGGACAATGTCCACTGCTCGCCCCACATCAACTGAGCAGATTATGTTGTCGTAGAAGACACCAGGTTTGTCAGGCATAATTTGCCCTTGGTGAATCTGTGCTGGCTTTTCCCAGTCACATGACTCATTTGACTTGTGATAGCCCCCAGGAGGATTCATTCCATAGTTTTCCTGGGGATTGGGAAAAGTTTCTCTTAAAGTTCTCGTAAGGTTCGCTCCTTGCAATATATGCTGGTTAAATTCAAGTCATGTCACTGGGTTTTTAGGTTGCTTTTTTGTCTGCTTGAGAGAACACTGTTTACCTTACAAGCAATACAGACATCCTCTAACAAACATATCTGGATTCTTGTTTTTTCCGGGGAGGGGACAGGGGGACGGGACAGCAACGATTTCTTACCAACTGTCCAGGTGTGTATTACTAGTCGGTTGTGAGGTTTGTGTGTTCAGAGAAGAGCTAATGGAGTGCCAGGTTCCAGGACTAACGTAACTGCTCATTACGGAGGTAGCATTTCTCACAACAGTCATGCTTTGTCTGTTTAGCAGATGGGCTGTACTAGCTGCTACAGGTTTGTTTTTCTGATGGCCTTCTCTCCCTGGGAAGCAAAATCCCCAGCAAGCAGTTGTGACTGCTGTAATTGCTGAGAGCAGAAATAAACACACACTGAGGGCTGATCTACCAATAACCTTTACCTTCCTTGCCCCCAGCCTGGCCCATTATCCGTGTTTTGCGCCACTTACATGGAAGCCTAAAAGTAACCAGACAATTCTGAAACCTGAGCAGCAGAAACTGCCGCAGTCCCCACAAACCAGGAGCTTGAGCCATCTCTGGCAATTACAGTACTGATAAACCCCAAACTTTGTCATTCAACTGAACATGTACATTTTTCAGAATAAACACACTGGGCTTGGAGTAACCCAGAAATAGCAAGGTATTAATGCAGACAAGAATTTCACTGCTCTCACATGCAGGGCGTTTGTAACTTTCTTACCACGTTTGAATTATTATTTTCTCATTTCTTAAATGGCAGTCTGCCAGTTGATTGTCTCTTGAACTGCTCCTTTGTATGCTAGATTCAATACAAGCATCACCATGCATTAATATTTCTATTTTTGCACAGAACACCAGCTCGTAAAATTACAAATATGATAACAGAAACCCAGAATTTAATAGAGGTTGCTGATGATCAGAATCATATTTTTTTCTGGTTAAAAGCAAAAAGATTTTGGTGAGATCTAAATGAAGTTGAGTTTCTTGTCATGTGCAGCTCTGGGGATTCAGATGAGCACTGACTAGCATTTGCCCCTTTTTTATTTCCTTAATATATGATATTAAATATCTCTGCTCAGGACTCATCTTGTTTTCTTGCTAGAAGAGTAAATGCTCTCAAGAGACTTGGTACATTCCAACCTCCCTGTCCTCCCACTTGTGGTTTTATCTCAAGTTCACATACAAACAGTTGTCTACCATTATTCTACAATGAAACAATATTTGGCACTTGAGTGTCGTTCAAGATGGGAGGATACGAATCCACACATTTTAAAAATAAAAAAAACCTCTGTAATTTATAGTTTGAACACTTCATAGTGCAAAGGGCTTATTTCTAACTCAAGATCCTACCCTGGAGAATTTTTTTCCCTCCACAACATTTTTCTGTTTCCATTCAGCCACAAGAAGTTAGGATTCAAATCCCTCCTTTATCCATTTTTCTTTCTTGATTTTGCAGCAGCAGAGCTCACAGTATAATCTGCATCAAGTGTTCCTCTTGTTTCTGCCTTCATAAAGAGGCCTTTTAAGAGATGTGGAAGAAAATACAGTTTACACTGCCTACTGAAATGGAGATAAGAGAATGACAGGCAAGGGAAACTGCAACCATGCAAAGCACTGCATCCTCTGTTTCATTCTAAGGGGTCACTGACAGGAGCATATCGTCGAAACTGGTCAGGTATGCAATTGTATTTTGGGGCAGCTAAGCCTAACTTCTAATCATAAGAAGTTAATATTTCAGCCTTTTATTTTAAACCAGCATCAGAACAGCTAAGATGACAATATTAATTCCTGCTGCTGTTACTAAAAGCTGAGATTGTCACACAGGACTGATGAGCTCTTTAATTAACAGTGGCATTAGCTCTCTTTGGAAAGATCCACCCAGTGAACAAACTCAAACCTAAAAAGGCATGTCCAATTTAAATCCCAGATGTAGCCCCAGAAGTTATACACATACAGTTATATACTTAAATATTAAGATTAAAAAAATACATATCTAAAGACATATAAAAGGATAGTTAAAACAGCCTTGCACTTCTCCATGCCCTTATTTAGCTGTCCTTATCAAAAATACTGTGAGAAAGCAGCTGGTATTTAGCATATGTACAGCACAACTTTGGATAGCCTGTGTTTGTCTTTAGTCTAGATTTCAGTGTCCCAAATACCTTGCTCAGATTTGGTTCTCGCTGCTTCTCTCCTTTCAGACAGCCTTTACCCATATCAGAGTTCCTACTTTTCCTTTTGGATGTATCTTCAGGAAGGCACTTTTTTGGCTGGTGTTAGGCACGCAGTCATACAATCTGCTGTAAGTCCTAAAGCGGAACTCCAAGAAAATATTTCTTACTACAGCAAGAGCTGTAACTTCACCACTTTTCAGAAAGCAAACAGCGTAACTTTTGGAGGTGTCCCATGTCAAGAACATGTACCACTGCCATCTGCAGGAATACCAAGGTGTGATTCAGCTACCATGTCAAATCTCTCTGGAAGTACAAAGGCACAGTCACACTGTTGCTCCTTACTAAGATTTCATGTGGCCCTGATTTCAAGGTAGTTCCAGAAAATGTTGTTACCACTCCAGAGAACTGCAGTCACAATTACACTAGAAAGAAGAGTCAGTTTTAAGAGTCAGTGTTCATAAGGCCATTTACTTGCCACGTATTTCAGATAATTTTCTGCTCAGTAAGGAAATATCCTCTCTGTGAAGCAAGGGTAACCAAATCACTGCAGAAATCATATGTTGACATCACATGAGAAGTCTGCTACCAAAGCAATTTTTCTGATTCCCAGGGAGTTCCTTTATTCCTCAGTAAGACCATTCTCCTTTCTTTTCCATCACAACTGGTCACTCTGGTGAGTTCTGTTTATGGTCAGTTCATAACCTGAAGCTCCTGCTGACTTCAGTGGGAGTTAGGCCAATATTGATGCTATCCAAAACCGATGTCTGAAAAGCACCTGGATTTATTTTTATTTTTTTTTAAAGGTAGTTTTCAAAGTAAGGTAAATGAGAACACAACCGTATCAATTTCTATTAGAAGGCTCAAACATAGCCTTGAAGCATACTTCAGTTATGATTTGGCTTGTTTTGTAGTCTTTAGCTTAGTGAATGAGTCCTCTCTTCACTTAACAATGTAATGCTGAATCTGAGTTCTGTACAGAATCTTATGCTCACTTCAGGATTTTAGTTGCCTTCTTATAATCTGATACTGGGTTGAGGAAGGAACCCAGATTGACCTTTGAAATTTTTGGGGGAACCAGAAAGTGCTGAACTTGCTGATCAATATTGTTTAAAAAGCTTTTCACCATTGTCATGGTGAGTAGAAACAAACTTTCACTGAGACTTAACAGAATGGAAGTAAAACTCCAATTAAGTTCAGGAGAACGTAGACAGTCAACTCAGATAATCCTTCCTCAGGTTCAAAAGATAAGAGACTAAAAAAGGCTTTGACTCACCTGTCATTTATTCTACCCTCATATACATGGACTACAGAACTCCTTCTGAGAGCAGACTCAGATAAAGAGGAGTTCTCAAAGCTCATTATACGGTACTTGCAAATGAGTTGAAGTGCCAAGTCTTTGATTTCTGGAGTTGCCAAACACTGGCTCAAATCCCGACCCCCTAGCACACAGCCTGCATAAATAGGACATACTCTCAGGATATCAACAGAAGAGACTTATTTTTCTTCTTAAGAGTTCAGAGCAATAACAGAACCACTTCACATTTAGAATCATACAATCATAGAATTTAACCATTTAACCATAGAATTTAATCATTCACACTCAACCATTCAGTAACTGCATCTCTAATAAATCTCAGACATATCTTTTCTCCATGGCAATGGCAAGCATGGTTATGTATTGTCATCTGAACATGGAGAATTAAATCCTCTGCTAACATAGACTGACATGAATCAATTGCCTTAAAGCATTGTAGCTGCATTAGATTTGGCCCAGAGCTTCTTCAGTCTTCTTTTGGTCATCAGATAATGTATCGTTAGTTACTTTTGGCATTACTGGGACTCCTTCATTTCATTCCCAGGAGGCAAAAACTGATACAGTTACATGACTGAATAGGCATCCTCCATGTGATTTACTTTGTGATCACGGACCACTTGATGTATGAGCTTTGTCTTTTTGTTTGCTTTGTCAGATTGAGCTGCCATAAAACTCAATAGCTGAGTCAGATTTTATAGCTAGCAACTAAAATGCAGAGGGAAACCTTCCACAGTCTCATCAGGAAAGAGTCTAAGGTAATAGCTTTGGTGTTTTCCTTAAGAACTCAACTACACAGTTCTTCTACTCGGGTTCAATTGTTTTTCTTCCGATCACTAAGCTGAGAGCATACTAGATGGAAAAAGGTTTGTGCATCTCAAAATACCCCAGAGGAAGTGGCAATTTACAGCCCAAGGGGGCAGAAATCATCCTTTTAGTAAAGCTCTGCAGTGGATTCTGTAGACACCACATAGGATATCCGTTACCAAGGGGTTTCCAAGAGGAGAGAGAAGGAGGGTATGAGCACCAGCAAGCATATTGTCAGTACAGTTTAAGAAAGTACTTTCTCCTGCTTTGTGGAGGAAGAATGGTCTAGATTCCCTGTGAGCCTTTCTGTCTCAGTTGTTTGGGGTGTTTTTTAGGATAAGACCTAATTTATTCCTTTAATCCACAGCTGAGGAGCTACAGGCTCCCTAAAGGTAAATCACAATTCATTCTGTGGCCATTTTCTGGATTAGTAATTACATGTGGAAGAAAAAATACAAGCCTCTCATGAATTATACATGGTTACTGGTTTGATTTCAAAAGCTCTTGACATTGAGGGTATAAGTAATCTAATTAGTCTTTTGTCCAACAAACCTTTTCTTTCTTCTAGTGCATATTAATTATTGTGTTACCAAACCAGGCCACAAATTTAAGTAAAACTTGATGCAGTTGGTTGGTAACATTAACGTGGTATTTCCATTGAGCGTTAACACATTAAATGTTGAGTTTGGGGAACAAGTTCTGCATGCTCCTTTACAATTTCTGCCTCCTCTTCCACAGTCAGAGCTATGAAGCAAAGTGCCTTTCTGTTAAGCAGGGCAGGAACCATCCAGGGGACCTCATGTACTTACAGGATGTCTTTACAAGCTTTTTTTCAAAGGACCTTTCTTCTGTAGTTCCCTAGAGGGAAAATAATGGTGATGTTATCAGGCTGATCTTCATGATTCTAGTCATCTGTCTTTCCTGCCTGTGAAGAAGGATATATACCACCAGATACCATTGTAGTCACAAAGAGAAGCTGGTAACATCTCACTGATCTTTAACTATAGTTCATGCATTCTTTTCTAAGTAATTCACTATACCAGTTGGTTGCTGTCCTGGGTTCAGCAGTAGCAGTCATTTTTCTCCTTCTTGGTAGCTGGTGCAGTGCAGTGTTTTGACTTTCAGCTTGGGAACAGAGCTGATAACAAGCGATGTTTTGGTTTGGCCAAGGACTTTGTGAGCCTCATGCTCTGCCAGGGAGGAGGGGAAGCCAGGAGGAAGCAGAGACAGGACACCTGACCCAAACTGACCAAAGAGGTATTCCATACCACAGCACGTCATGCCCAGGATGTAACTGGGAGTTAGCCGGAAGGGCTGGGAGACTGCAGGGTTGGAGGAGGTATCGGTCGGAGCTTGGTCGGGCTTGGGGGGCGAGTTATCGGTCGGCTGGTGGTGAGATGATGTATTCTCTTCCCTTGTTATTTCCTTTATCATTATTATCATTGGTGGTAGCAGCAGTGATTTGTGTTATACCTTAGTTACTAAACTGTTCTTATCTCAACCCGTGGGAGTTGCATTCTTTTCGATTCTCCTCTCCGTCCCTCCGGGAGCAGGGGGAGGGCAAGAAAGGGGGGAAAGTGAGCGAACGAATTACCTGACTGGGTTTAAACCACGACAGTTGCTAGGTTTTTCTTCCCTTAAATATAGAGTGGAACAAAAAAAACACCTTCCCCTTTTCTTTACAGTTAATGCTTTTGGGGTATCTCTTATTCTAATTGAGGTCATAACTTATTAATAGTCTAAAAATACACATTTTGTTTCTCCTGCCTACAGCAGAGAATGCATCTTATGTCATCCTCAGCCTTCTGACACCCTTGTGTCCCACCAAGTACAGAGCAACTTCAATTTTGCTCCTACTGCTAAGTAGAATGGAAAATACACTGGTTGGCAATCACTTATAACAGAACTTTCTCATAAGAGGAGTCCAAGGACTATTATTTAATAAAATTAGGAAGCTGTGAAGATAACGGCTGAACTAGCAAGAGACAAGATTCATACCATGGGTTTACAACTCTTAACTCCAGGCTTCAAAGCCTCTTGCTGAGTCCTGAATTTTAAAAGACCTTAAGCAGTTTGGCACAGTCCAGAGTGCTTGGGAAAACTTGCACTTCAGGTGCTTTCAACCTATATGAACAAAGGAGAGGGGGTCAAACTGAAGGAAGAAGCTACATTTGGGGTTTGTTGGATCAGGAAGATGGTGGAGGCAGAAGCAAAGCAGGCAGAGGAGATCACAGCTTTGCAGCAACTGGGTATGTTGTGAACAGGTAGCAGGTAACCTAAGGACAGAGCTGATGATGTAATCATAGTTTAAGTTACCCAGAACAGTGAATTTATTTTCTTTGACTGTGCATGCTGCTTTGCAGCAGTTCTGTATGGCAGCTTAGCATTCACCCTCCCCTTAACATCAATTGTAAGCTGCTGATGGCCTTTCACATAACAGTGAGTGCATTTTAGAACTTCAGAAGATCAATCTAAACAAACAGGAAACCCTCATGCAAAGTTTTTCATTTTGGGCTTTATAGAACAGAAGATATGTTCAAAAGTTGCATCTTTCTTCTTTACCCATTTTTTTAAGTGCTAAAATATTCTGACGTGATAATTCATAGTATTCCTGATTAAAATTCTGCATCAGCCCAACTTGTGATGTTTAACCTTCCTCCTGAACAGGCAAGTCTATGAATTGAGTGTTTTGATGAATCTATTCAGTCAAATATTCCGCATCTACAATTCAATATTGAAAGAAGTCTGTCGTTTTCTCGCATTCTTGTTTCACAGTAATTATCAGAACAGAAGAATAATTATTGAATCACTCAGTTTACAAATTTGGCAGCCACACTAATGAACGCATAAAGCCTTGTTGCTAAATAGAAGTTAGCACTGATTAAAGCAAACAACCCTTTTCACCACTAAAAACTACATACGCATGATCTGTTACACACACTTCCCTGTTGTTCTAAAAGCGCTGTGAGAAGAACGCTTTAGGAAGTGCATAGCAAGTGAGGTGGGGCTTCTTTAAGGTTTGCACAGATGTGCAAGCTGGGAACTAAGGCTGTGTACTTCCATGAGATATCAAACACTACTGTGTATGCCACTGTATAAAACTGCAATAAACTACAGCTTGGATTCCCATGCACAAGAACTTTAAGGAACCAACATTTGACCTGAATGCAGTACCTGGGCCACATCTCCAGCCAGAATCAGAAATGGACTTCATATGCGTTATCCTCCTATTCCCCAGATCCAAAATGTGTGCCCATGCAAACCACAAAGAAATCAGGTTTATTTGATTAGTGTCTCTTTGGGCAGTCATCCTAACACGCTGGTAGAAAGAAGATGGTTTGAATTTCTGACCTCTCCCATCTTCCAGGACCCCACAGACATTGGAAAGCTGGTTCTGCACCACAGTCAGCACCAATGTTGCACACAACTGTTTGTGAGTTTATTTTTCCCCATCTAACCAGCTCTTGTTCAGCTTTCCTACACAACAGAATGGCTTGATCTGCTAACAGCAATGGGCATAAAGGCTTCAAAGAGGACAGGGAGATGTGCTGTCCTGCCCTTAGCAGAATAGCACTGTCAGCCTCCACTGCCCACTGGAAGTTTCAAACAGGCATTTCTATCTTTGCCATTCTGCCCTGCAGGCTTGAGGGGAGATGGTTTTGCCAGTGTTTACAGAGAGGTCCTCATCCCCTTTTGAATCCTCCCTTCAAGCCCTTCTCTTGCTTTAGCACCAACACAAAGCTGACAGCTGTTTGGCACCTGGATGTCACTGCCGATGCTCCCCATGCAGTGGTTGCTGCTGTGGGTTCTTATATTTCTCACCATTACCTATATGCACACCTGGAGAGGTAATTCCACCTCCCTGCTGCAGCAGGGACCAGCTTTATCCTCTGGACCTGGTGCAACAGGACCCTAGGCAGCAACACTAGCTATGGGAACAGTAATGTCAGCCCCACCTGAGGGAAGTCAGAGCCTCTCATGCACCAGGCTCTTAATGTACAGAAAAAGAGCCATCTAAATGTTTAATCAAGCGGGTCACTGGAGGTTGTTTGAATTCATCTTCCTGTGGACAAAGATTTCAATGCCCAACCTGTTCAAAGGCCACAAAACCTACTTCTGACGGGAATTCTGCAACTGAAGTTGTAAGCACACTTCAGTAAATATTTTGTTGAAAAATTCCTCCTTTGGGAAGAGGAAGTAGGTAGAGAAAGCTTTCATGAATTCAGTTCAGGTTTAGCATGTAATGGTAACCAAAGAGGAAAAAAGGAAAAAGCTATATACTTTGACATTTAGCTGACATTTGTTTTGAAAATTGTCAAATGGATGCTAAAGCAAAGCAAGCTTTCTGCTTTTGAGTCAAGTGAAACAGTTGCAGGGAAGGAGGTTTCTTCCTTATTTTACTGGGAAAACAAAACCAAGAGAATTTCACTTTGAGTCAACACAACACTTTCCTGAATATTCCAGCCCATTCTGATCCAAAGCCCCTGCTTATTTTAGGCAGCTCTAATTTCAACCCACTCCCTCAGCTTGTTTCTAGAAGCAAAGCTCTGAGGAGGTTTTTGTTGAAGCTCAAAGGGGAATGTTTCACAGGGCTCAATTACAGGAGAAACTGCATCGGTTAAAGCAAAGAAAACAAAACAAAAAAACCCTCAACCCTAAAAACCAACCAAACACAAAAAAAAACCCACCTCGTTTGCAATTTAAGAATGTAAATTTAACTTATTAAGTCATTTTCATTGTAGAACCTATTTAAGCTACATGGGCCTTCAGGAGACCAGGTATTCCTCCACTTCCAATGACATTTGTAGAGCTGAATGAGGATTAAATGTTTGAATACTCATTTACCAACAAAAGAAGAGAAGAACTTTCCAAGAAGTGTTGATACTTTTCTTGCACAAAATGTCATCTTTCTATAAATGGTGAAAAGGTTGGTAAGTCATTGTTTCCACAACCGAAATTTTATTGGCAGAAACAATTTTTATGAAGGAATTGTACAAAATCCATATCCTTGAATGTCATCTTTTCAGAAATAAGATGCTAATTTAATCAAACTTCAAAACTTATTGGTTTGTCTGAATTTTACCCTGCTATCTTAATGAAGTCTATTTGTATAAAACATGCACTTGTTCAAATGTAAGGTTACAAGAACAATTTTGGAATAGCAAAAGCTGCCTAACATTGAAAAGAAGTTTGGAGACCAAGAGAATTTATCAGTCACCATGAGAAGAAATGCTGTCATGCATCACTGAGGCTTTTTCCTGCAAATTAAATTAGGATGAGTGGTAATTATTCTGACTTCATAAAATAAAGAAGATGCTTTTAGCAGATGATTCAGTTTCTATTGTCACTCAAACTTGTAGGACTAGCATGGGTTTGACAGTAACTCAGTAATCCTATACAGACACCTGTTGAATTGGTAGTTTTCTTGCAATTTCTGTATCTTCTGACCCATATCCCTGGTGGGTTTTGTCGCCACTGGTAAGCAGATACAGTAATTAGCATCAATAAAGAAAAGTTCACCTTTGACTGTTGGTCCAACAGCAACTAAATGCAGTGACTATATGACAGTTTTCAGACAAATAAACAACCACCCTTGGAATGGATAAATCAACTCTTTCTACCTCCTACAAAATACTTTTACTTGTCTGTCTAGTGCTGGATTGGGTGGAAGAATGAAAGAAATTTGGCTTTGGGGAAAAAAAAAAACAAACAACCCAAAAATGAGGAAATGCTTTCAAAGCTCGGATCTAAAAGCAGAGTAACCATTACTGAGGTTTCCTATTTAAATCTTCCCCCTCCTAACACAGGAATTCACATCACACACACTTGTGCCCTGTAGCTCTTGTAGTCTCAGCTGA